CACACACTGGTGATGGCAGCTACATTGTAGCCACAGCTGCCCTGGGGCGCACTGACAGAGGCGAGGCTGCCGGACACTGGCGTCGTGCTAAAATATAAACCCAATCATTTCTTACAACTTAGACATAAACAAAAGTTAATGTGATTGAAAAAACAAATCATTTTTGTTTAGCCCCCCAAACTAATCACAACTTTTCCTGAAGTAAAATTAGTTACAGATTTAAAAAGCAAACAGGCTCAAGTATTCTTACTGTTTAAAAAAGACAATGATGGATAAAAATGCTGTGTCACAAGAACAGTAATCAGTACTGGTCCCAGCACAGAACCCTGAGGCACTCCAGCACTAATCTAATCAAAAACAGGAATCTATCAAACGGATTTGATTTATTATCAAACCATTGATCAATAGTTCTTGACACATGTTGTAGGAACCGGGGTCTAAATGGGGGTTGGTGGTTTGGCTCTGAGACGCATCAGAGAGCAGCTTGGGTTAGTATCCTGCTCAGGGATATTTGGCATGCAGACTGGAGCAGCCGGGGATTGAACCACCAACCTTCCGATTAGGAGACCCACTCCGGGTTAACACAGCAGCGACTACCTGGCCACAGGTAATCACAGACTGCCATGAAACCAATAGAAACCAACAGAAGTCACTAACAGCCCGCCGTCCACGAAGGCGTGGTTTATGTGTCTGATTCATATTTATGGCCTGCAGCAACTTCCTGTCAGGAAACAGCAGAGTGTTGAAACACCGACTCTGGCAGCACTGTTGGACAGTTAGCTTTGAGGTGTAAGCCTGGCCCCTCTCTGGGTTTGAGGCTGGGCAGATTTGAATGTGGTGTAATTTAAAGAAACAGAACATGTATGTGTGGTGTTGTTTAGTTAGAGGTGAGTAAAATGTGTGTCTGGCTCATAAACGGTGTTTCCTGAGCAGAGGTGTGAACTTTGAGCTCTCCATGCTGAGGTCTGTCACCTGCTGTTGCGTGACGGAGGACAGCGATGACGGAGCACCTTCTGAAAATTCTCATTGTTGGTGATGGAAATGTCGGCAAGTCTTCCTTTGTTCATCGCTACGTCAGCGGACAGTTCAACAAGACCTACAAGATGACGGTGGGAGGTAGGGCTGCTTTACTTTTTTGAGTCTTTGAAATATTGGCAGGGTCTGCGTGGTGTGTTTGGGTGCCCTGAGACTTTGCATGGTCATCAGAAAACTTCAGAAGTCATGTTAGAAATAGCAGGCACTAACCTGAAACTGGTTTTTATATAGTAGAGGAGCAGACTGATGTTCATGTAAAATCTGAAGACAGATGGAATATAAAAGTGGATCCACCACTTTGGTCCTGACTGAGAAAACAAAACCCATCAGACTGTTGCACAGCTCCTGCTTTGGGCTCATGTTACACAAGATCATGACTTAATCTGGACTGTAAAAGATCTTAACGTTTATCTGTCCCACCACGATTGTCTCGTTCCCTTCACCTCTTCCTGAATTAGAAATGTTTCAGAGAAGTCGTGTTATTCAAGGAAATTTGCTTACTGTGGGAGTTCCCTTTAAACCGTTCCACAAGGGACCTTATATTTATTATACACACACAAAGTGGGTTTTTAATTTAATTCATTTCAACTTATATATGTCTCCCAAACTGGAAGCTGGTTCCACAGAAGAGGGGTTTAACAGGAAGCCAAAACAGGAGAAATCTGCTCTCTCTTTGTTGAAGGAGCTCTGTAACTTGTCCTCTAGCACCACCGTCAGGTCAAAATGTATTTTTCATCTCAGGACCTCGGCTGTTTTTAACTTTATGATCTAAAACTTTGTTTCTTACAAAAATAGCTGGAGTTGATTTTCAGACTTTGTCCTTTGGTTTGCTTTGACTGGCGACTTCAGTCCGCCGGTCTCTACAGCTACATTTGAACCCATCACATCAGGAGCGCTCTTCCTTTTAAACCAAAGCTCCAGGTTCACAGTCTCTCTGCACGAGTTGAATCAAATGAAGATGAGATCACTGACTATGTCAAAGCCTTCAATCTGTTTGCACGATTAGAAACTGTGGATTAGTCACCTGATTCAGACCCCAGGTGTACAAAATGCTGAATGAATACTTACAGGATGAGACACGTTGTTAATTTCAATATTTATACATACCTGGAAGCAACTGAGAATGAGTGCAGGTTCAGCTGGACGAAACCAGCTCTCACTTCTTTGCACTTAATGAATAATTTCACAGAGGTTTCACTTCAGAAGAAGCAAAGTGAAACTTTGAGTTTGTTTTCATATTTTCCTGTGTAGATGTGCCTTCAGTGGCGTTTCATTTCTCTCTTGCTGCGTCTCTAAAACAGACTGTTTCCTTCTGCAGTGGATTTCTCCGTTAAGCTGCTGCACTGGTCGGATAAAGAGAAAGTCCGACTGCAACTCTGGGACATCGCAGGTACAAAGAAAGTTTGGCTTCAGCTTTTTTAGCCTTAGTGGGTCAGCTGATGCTAGCTAAGACTGGTTAAATGACGTAAAACAAAAACTCGACTTGAGAAAAAGATTAAAACCAGCAGACATGACACGGTGTGCAGGTAGAACAACAGCAAACGTTTGAAGTTTGAGTCAGTGTGCTCTACAAGCTTCTGGAGGCTTTGGTGCACCTGTTTGGAAACTGCTTTGTCTACCTGACATAAAGGGCTGTGTTTGAACTGAACATCTTCAATCTGTTTAACAACAATAAACTCAAACAAATAATGAAACAAAAAAAACTAAACTGAACATTTTCAGACAGGAAGAAAACTGAAAGCAATTAAAAATAGTTCAAAATAAAATAAAAATTAAATTCAAAATATCTAACGCCTCTGCATTATTGACTGGGTCATGGATGGATGGATGCATTGGTGACACACTGACCTTTGCCTTGTCTCTTCAGGCCAAGAGCGTTTCATATCCATGACCAGGATCTACTATAAAGGGGCGCTGGGCTGTGTGGTGATGTTTGATGTCACCAGTTCCTCCAGTTTCTCCAGCTGTCGCCACTGGAAAGAGGACCTGGACAATAAGGCCATGCTGCCCAATGGAGACTCCATCCCCTGCATCCTGGTTGCTAACAAGGTGATTGAGTGCATCCAGCTAATGAAGGATCCACCAGGAAGCTTTGAGGTTCAGGCTAATGAGCACAGGCTGCTAACATGCAGTGAGTCACCTGACTATAAACTCAGTCTTTCTGCTTCGGTCTGTTTGCAGTGCGACCTCGCTCACAGGGCTGTCTCTGCAGACACCATCGACAAGTTCAGCAAAGCCCACGGCTTCATTACATGGATGGAGACTTCAGTCAAAGACAACAAGAACGTTGGAGAAGCCATGAGGTAGGAAGAGAACATCGGAGGCAGAGCTCAGAGAATTCATTTTTAGGAATTTAGAGTTAAACCTGGACCAATCCAGTAGAATCCCACATCTCAGTTTTGTGTTATGTGCAGTTTTATTCAATAAAATGTAACATGCAAGAAGGAAATTAGCTTATGTTAGCACCTGCTGAAGCTGGAATCAACCTGAAGAGTCAGGCAGTCACTCTGCAGGTCTTGATGCTCAATTCAGATTTTTTGATCAAATCTGATTTTTTTGTCTGCTCGTTCACACTACAAATAAAATGTGACAGCAAACGCGCTCTAGTGTGAACGCTCAGAGCGGCCGCATGCGCAAAAGAAGACGTCACACACGACGTGCTCTGTTTAGACCCAGAATAAACAGTATTGTTTGACTGACGGCCTTAATATAAAGACTTCGGACTTTACGTTTCCTAATTTTTGCTTGAAGTTATTTTGTTATTTACATAATAATGTAGATAACCTAAAAATGATCCTTACTGCTGTTTTAGAGGAGCGCTGCTTCAAAGGATATCTGCAGATTTCTGTCAGAATCTGCAGATTATACAGAACAAATAAAATGTTCACGTTGTCTTCCCAACAGTTTCACTGACATCTACACTGGATGGACAGGAAGCGTTCACGATGTCTTCTCCGGCGCTGATAATTGGCGTCTGTCTTGTGTCGGTGACGTAAAAGACGGATTTAATGCGACATGACCATCAAACAGCAGTCGCTTTCTAAAACATCAGATATGTATCGGATTCAGGACCGCATACGAAAATGACCCAGGTCGGATTTGAAAATATCAGATTTGTCACACCATGATCGGATTTGGGTCGCGTAGGGTCAAAGAAATCGGATTTGATGCGCTTTCGCCCGCAGTGTGAACGTAGCCTATGTCTGTAGCTCCTCTGAGGTCCTCCTCCTCAATAACACCTGTGGGGGAGGGGGCATTTCTATAACTCACCAGTTTGTATTATTAGGGGCGTGGCCTCTTTCACTGACACAGTCAGCTGTAACTGCTAGCTGTCTGCTAGCTTTTAAATAGCTAACAACTTCACATTTGCTTCCCTGGTTTAAATGGAACGACGGCTTTATGCTTTAAAGACGATGCTCTGAATGTTGGAGGGACGTCCTGCAACAGCTTGTTTTCTCCGATCATTGAAATTACTGAAGCTCAGAGCGAGCAGCTCAAAGAGTTTCTGACCAGGTCATCGTCTCGCAGGTTTTGGTGGTTTTGGCTGGAAACAGCTGAGATGTTTTTGAACATTATCGAGGTATCCAAGCTGTCTTTCCTTTGACACAAAGATCTAAGATCTAAAGCAAGAGAGAAAAAGAGTATTAAACAGAAAATTCAATCTGATCAGTCAGGAAAACACGTCATTAAAGCTGTGAAATCTGTGGCGTTTCAGGATGCTGGTGCAGGAGATTCTGTCGGTTCAGTCCAGCATGGACCCGATTCACAGACCTGAAGTCCGAGTTTATCCTCACCCGGACTCAGAGTTCAACAGAAGCCCAGGAGGAGAACGAGGCTGCTGCTGAAACCACGAGCATCACTCGGAGCACAGCAGGAAGTACTCTTCATGTGCACGTGAAGTGTAGGACTGTGAACTGTCTCGGAGGTGATTCTGGCTCTCCCACCTTTACTAGTTTCATTTTGAGCTAAAGGTGTAAATTAAACCAAGTTCAAATAAAGATCCGGGCCTCGCCTAAAGCGAGAAGCAACACTAAGGACAAACACGGGTATGTGTTTCACTGCTGTGATCAGAAACAGGTGAGACACGTTAAAGGTCCGATGACGTGACGCCGAGTGGGGAGCACAGGAAAGGTGCTGGAGACAATGGTGAACAGGAAAAGCTTTTCAAACACACAGCACATGACCTTAGCGTGTTTAGCGGATTGTACGCTGCACCCTGATGAGAACAAACCAGCCTCACACAGCAGAAACACAGTCGAGGCTTCTGCCACAACTTCACCTACATCCAAGGTGCCCAGAGAAGGAAACTAAGAGATTGAAGCTCCAGAAACACTCACATACATTCATATTAAACAAAACACCTTCGTCAATTAACTTTATTCATTTCAGCTTCGTCAGTCCTGATCCACATGAGTTTGAGAGTCCTGGGTGGGGACCCAAACCTGATCTTTGACTAAACCTCTGGAGAGTAACAGAAGTCGAAGAAAAGAGGTGAAATGATGATGACATACTAAATAATGAATGACACACACCTCCAGCCTCCAGCAGAGGCACACGAGCCAACAAAAGAAAAGGTCTGGTTCAAACCTTTTAAACTGAAAAGGCTAAATTCGTGTTTGGGAATCAGCAGGTGTGCCACCCAGGTAAGCAATGCGAAGTAGAGGCTGAACACGGAAAGGTGGCGTTCAGCGTAGGCGTGGGGACCAGAAGGAGCACATGGAAGGTGAGTGTATCGTGAGAGAACGAGGTGCAGAGCGTGCTCGGTGCAGCCGTCAGATCATCTCCCAACCCGCTGAGTCGTCCCGAAACGTGGCGTCCCCGTGCTGGCGGCGAGGCGTGTGTGAGTGGGTGCTGCACAGCATCAGTGGGACATGCACGGGAGCTCCGACCTGCTGCGAGAAATTCTGCTTTGAATTTTTACACTTTTACTCTTGCACACAGTTTTTAGCTTCTTTTATTTTCTCAGCTTGTCTCCTTGTTTCATTTCCTGTTTTACTCTGGCAGTTACCTTCCCTTTGCGTTTCAGTTTGTTTACTTCCTGCCTTTGTCTGTTTCCCTCCTCCTGTGTTTCCCTTCTGCTTCTCAGTGCCTCAGGTTGATTCCTTTGAGCTTATTTGGACTTTCTGTGGGTTTCCAGGATAACCAGCATGCTTTGTGTATTTCCTTTTGCCTGACCTGATGCCATCTGCATTTGTATCCAGTTGTAGCACAGAAACATTTTTCAAAAAAGGCCTTCGGACTGTTTTTCTAGATCTGATTAATAAACATGCTAAAAAGTCAAATACCATCTTATGATTACCCGACTAAGTAAAGTAAAGATAATCAGGCTTATCCTCCCAGGGTGTCATTTGTTTCAGTGAGAGCCAGAGAAACCTGAGAAATTCTTAGCTTGGATTTGGAGCAGGTTCATAAAATGGTCATATTAAGCTTTGGTAAAATTACTTTAATCCCCCAAACAATTGCAGTGAGTAATATCAGGAAACCACAGCCACGTGATCAATAAACTACTTCAGCTTCAAAGAGACCCTCACCACCTCACGCTGTTTTAGTCCATCTGAATTTATGCATAAAGTCAATGTAAATTTCCCCGATGACATTGATAACATCTGAATTCATGCAGGTTAAAGTATTTCAACTTTAAGCTACTGCAAAAAATGTCCCATCAGCTGCAGGACGACCTAACTGACTCCATCAGCAGCACTCTTTGGTTCACTTTTAAACAGAGCTCAGAAAACGTCCAGTGTGACGGGGCGTGGGGCGGCTGATACACCTGAGCTCAATCAGCTCATCACGCCTCCCCTGCATAAAAGGAGTGGACTGGGTCCAGAGTTATTGTTGTTGCTGCTGAAAAGCTGCATCGCATGCATGTTTAGACGACAACCAGAAATAAAAGGAAACTGCTGAAAAGTGTCGAAACATGGTTGGATCCATCATGCATCTTTTACATGCAGAAAACAGAAATCCTGGAAGCTTCTATAACTTCCAGCTGTGGGACTAATACAGGCTAAAGGCTGTCTTCTCTTATCACACTGCGTGGGCTTTCAACTCAAATGAATTCTCACGTTAGGCGTGAGGACGTCATAGCGGTGAGAAAACCATTTAATTCCAGAGTCAGAATCTTTGAGATGGTTTAATTCTATCGAAGTATAAAGTTTTTCTTTCCATGTTTTTGACCTGTCTTTGGGTTTAGCTGAAGAGTCCAACAATGATCTGCTCCTTTTCCAGTATGCTTGGATCGACTGGTTTTCCATTACAATCTGGTACTACCTAACGTGTGTGGCTGTTGTCATAGCAACACGTCTTGCATGTGCGATACAACAAAGGTGGACATCAAGGTGACGATATACCTGCTGCTCGGTCGTGCGGGTCGTTTTTAGCTCCTGAACTGAGTTTCAGGTACTTTTTAGCAGCTAAATCTGAACAGCAGTGGAAAGCGACGCAGAAGCCATAAAGGTGGAACCACAGCTATTAGCATCCTGCAGCTTTAAGATTTCATTGTTCAGACCCAGAAGATTCATTTATGTTTACACAGTCTATGGTTACTTCCTGTTTTATTTTGAAGGTTTGTTGTGTGGTTTTCTTCCCTCCTTTCGTCTTCTTCCTGCTCATATTAGCGTGTGATTATTATCCTTCCTTCTGATCTTCTCCTTTGGCTCCTTTAGCTTACTGTTCCACCCTCTCTGCGGTCCTCTTTCTAAAAATAATCAAACTGCTGCAGCTTTGGTTTGTCATAAATCAGGCGGCAACGTGACGGTCTGCAGTCAGTGTGAGGTTTCTGTAACTGATTAAATGCACTTTAAATGTTTCCCCGTCACTGGAGGCGTTAATATTCACCAGTGAGCTGGCCAGAGCTCTGAGCTCAGAGCTGGAAACCCTCAGAGAGGAGGCTGAATGTTGGACAGATGGAGCTCCTGTCTGTGTGTCAGCCTGTCATGGCCACCCCACAACTCACAGCAGGGGGGGCAGTACCAGGCTCCTCAGAGGGGCTCTTTAGCCGTTAATGGGCACAGTGTTGAGAGCGCTTTTCTCCTCCTGTCACTGTGGGGCCTTGTTAAAGATGCTTTCGCCCATTTTACATGGTCGCAGAGGATTCATCATGGCTTCATGGACAGGTCGCCTCGCCCCACATATTCAGGTGGCTGGGCTGCAGGAGGCTTCTAAGAGCCTCAAATACTGGAGCTGATAATTATGGCCTATATTGTGCAGTGACCCGGCCCAATGCACTGAATGCACAGGTGTCATCCTGCTCATCGTCACATGACAAGGTGTATGTAAACAAGCCCACACAGGCAGCAGACTGCAGCTGAAGTACAGTTTATTAGAGGGTTATAGAGGCTGCAGTGCACACACCTGCGGCTTTATGCATTAGCAGCAACGATTTCTGGCACAACTTCAGCTACTTCCAAGGTGCATGGAGAGGATGAAAGAATTCACAATGCAAGAACTCCAGCAACACTTAAGGGAAGATGAACAACTTTAATAATTGACCAACGCGTTTCAGTTTTGTGGCTGTTACGGGCTCGGTATAGTTCAGTCAAACAATGGTTTATTGAGTACACGCGTGGGAAGATGTGTACTCCTGCACCAGCATCAATCTTCCCCGAACAGCTCAATTCAGAATGTTTTCATTCATCAGGGTTGCGCCCCTTCATGCGTCACAAATCAACATGATATGCATCAGTTACAGTAAATGGTCAATCTTAAACCCCTAAAATTAGACAAAGAAGTTCCTTTTTCTATCACACCTTCCAAACACGGCAATAAGTTGCAAGTCTAAATGGTCCCTGAGGGCTTGTCCTTTTCTTGACTTGTCTTCTGTCACCTGTTACTAGGCAAACTGCAGTTAGAAGCAAAATGTATCTCAGGCCTTTGGCCTGGAATCAATACTGTCATGTGCGTGCATGCTTTGAACCCTTTATTGCTCCAAGTCACTTACACAATGGATCGCCTGGACAGTCACGCCACGTGAAGCTTAAGAGCTTTAATAGACCGAACATCAACTCTCTAGAAGCACAAGCCTGCAATGTGTGTATAAAATGATTATAACTGCACCTGTAATGAAAATGTTAATATGGGATTTTGATAACACCAGTAATACAAGTTTTAACGTAATGCCAACAGCTTCAACATGGTAGAAAGCTGCTTAAATACAAGACAGGAAACAGAAAAAAATTCAAATTAACCAATCAAAACTTCATAGATAGATCAGCTGACATATAACAGGTAGGTATTGGTTAATTGGTTAAGTCACGCCCAAGTAAATACTGGACTAGATCATTAATGACGAGGACGAGGGGAGGAGACATGACCCCCACCTATCTCAAAAAAACACATGCGCGAAATACATAATAATACTGTACAAAAGAAAGGGGGGGCGGGGACGACAAAGGGCAGTATTTAATGATAAAAGGAGGTTGGGCCAGCAGTTGAATTAAAAACAAGAGGACATCATCACATGGGAACATATTTGTTAACAGGTCCTAATTTATGTATGAGATGTAGATGCTACTCCTTTGGCTGAAAAAATAAATACAATTAATTAAATAAACATTACCCGTGTGAGAACAATTTAACTGATAAAATTAGAATAAAAACATAAAATATAAAAAAGGTTCAGTTCACAAAAACTCATTGATAGAAAAGTCCTCATTCATACCTCTGGGGTGCAGACTCTTAAAGTGGAGCATGCAAAATGCTTCTCTTTTTGTCTGGATAAAATTAATATGACCACCTCTTTGGTTTAGTTTAATGGCTTCAATGCCGAGAAAAAATAATGGGGAATATGGATGTTTATCATTGAAGTGTCTTGCAACAGGGCTGTTAGATCACTCCTGATCGAACTTTTGTGTTCATTCATTCGATCTTTCAGCGGGCGCGATGTTTCTCCTGTGTATATTTTATTGCACGGGCACTGTATCATGTAGATTACATTTTAAGTTCTGCATGTGATAAAGCCCTTTATGGCAATAGTTGTGTCACCTATAGGGTCTTTGAATGATTTAACATTTTTGGTGTATTGACAATTAATGCATGCCCCACACTTGAAGTTTGTCACGGCGGAGCAGGGAGGACTCGGCGCAGACTGAAATCTCAGAAAAACAGGTTTATTTACACACTCCAGGTGCACTATATACAGGTGAAGGAGAAGGGGGCCAGGGTTCCCAGGGGTGCAGAGAGGAGTCGGGAAAAGCGTCCAGAGTCCCCAAACCAAGCACGAGAAATGAGCGTTACTCAATAGTCCAGCGGCGAGGTGCTCTCAGTCACTGCCTTAAGTAGCGGGAGCAAACAAGGTGAGGAGCCACAGGTGATTGCCTACAGGTGGTGGAGGCCGGGAGCTCACAATGAGCTCCGCCCAGGCAGCGAGCAGAGAGAGAATAGACAAAAACAAAACATGTAGCTACACAGGGCCAGCCGAGCAGGCACGGGGACCATGACAAAGTTACCTTGTAGGTTATGGCTTATCAGGGTTTTATCTGGAGTATCAGGGTCCTGACCAGCTCTAACAAGCCTATCGTTAATATTCCTTCCTCTCATGTAGGTTATCACTGGTGGTTCTTTAAAGGTACCTAATAAGTTTGGGTCATTTTGAAGGATATGCCAATGTTTTAAAATGATTTCTTTAATGGTTCTGGTTTTTGGTGTAACGTTGTGCAAGGTCAGGTTTATGTTTTGGAGATTTCTTAGTTGCTAAATAGAAATCCCTGCTTACTGTACTCACCTTCTCTTCTGCAGATCTTAACCAGTCCTCTTTGTACTTTCTGTCTTTAAATTTGTTCAGCATCTCTTCTTTGCTCTCCTTATATTCATCCTGAATTTCACAGATACGCTTGAGTCTAATCAACTGGCTTACAGGGAGGCTCTTTTTGAGGTGGTTCAGATGGAAACTTGCAGCATGCAATAATGTATTCTGATCAGTGGGTTTAAAATACAGAGAGGTGGACAGAGATTTGTCTTTTTTTGTTACTTTCATGTCCAGAAAGTTAATTTCTTCAGTACTTTAACTGAGGGTGAAACATAAGCCTGCAAAATGTCCATTAAGGAATTCTACGAACTCTATAGAGACTGGTCCTTTCCGGAGTAAAAACACGTCATCTATATACCGTTTCCAAGATACAATGAATGGTAAATAAGGGTTTTTTTTGGTGATTATATAGAATTTGTTCTTCCAGATGACCAACAAAAAGGCAGGCAAAACTGGGGGCCATTTTGGTTCCCATTGCAGTGCTGGAGATCTGAAGGTATGGTGTGTTGTTGAAAAAGAAATAGTTCCTTTTCAGGACAGAGGCAGCCAGCCTCGTTAGGAAGGAACTAGATGGTAGTTTAGTAGACCTAGTATCAAGGAAATGTTCCAAGGTCTCTAGGCCTTGTGTCTGAATAATATTGGTATACAGGAATTCAATATCTAAAGTACTGTATCCGTATCAATTGGTGGCAGATCTTTGAGAAAAAGTAAGAAGTGGGAGCTATCCTTAATGTAAGACTTTAATGACAGTACAAAGTTCTTCATGTGGAAGTCTACAAAGCTTGATATTCGTTCAGCTAGACTACCAATAGCAGAAACAATCGGTCTGCCAGGTGCTTCTTCTAGGTTCTTATCAATTTTTGGTAATATGTAAATGTTTTCTCCTTCAGAGAAATGCCCCCTTGGGTTCTTAGATTCCAGCTGCGTTCGTAGTTCTGCAAACTTTGACCCGCTCAGAGTCGAGCTTTTCAGGTCAATCAGCTGCATTTCAGTGTTGCATTAATTGGTATTAACTCAGCCACTTAATGCGAGACAAATCCAGCTGCTCATTAAAGCTTTCTGGTTCGATCAGAAAAGAAAACATTGGTCCATACGCCTGAAAGTCACGAAAACGCATTGTGAATTCTGTCTATCCGAGTATTTCCGTAGTGCTGACGCTGTGCTGAGCGGACAGCTGCTGAAGCTTTTGAAGTTTTGAATTTCAACATCGCTTGAAAAAAAAAAAACACCAGCTAGCAACGTCCCTCTCACCAGTAGGCGAAGTTATTTTTAGCCAATTACAAGTTGAATCTGGTAGTTGGGTTGTTAGCTAAGATACTGTCATTAAGAAGCGGCACAACTAATGTGTCTATCCGAGCTAATCTGTGATGTGCATCGCTGGCCCGGCCATTTATATTTTAATGCACCAGCTCAGATTAACTCACTGCGTGTCGTGCCCAGGGCTGGACTGGAGCAAAAAATCAGCATTTTGACTAGAGACCGGCCCCCCCAGGTATTAAAGCCATAAAGCCTTTGAATGAAAACAAATGCTGTTGTGACAGTGATGTACAGTCTTGTTGGTATATGTATGATTTCTATACATTTTACATCAGATAAAAACTTTGGTTGTAAGCTTCAGATAATTATTTAATAACAGACATTTTAAATGAGAATAAGAAAGTATTTCTTTGTGCCCCCCTCTCCCTGTTAATGCCCTACCTGCCCCCCTGGCAAAACTTTGCTAGACCCGCCCCTGCACAGTTACCAGCTGTCAGCTAC